ACCAGCCTGGCCAACATGGTGAAACCCCGTCTCTGCTAAAAATACAAAAACATCAACTGGGCATGGTGGTGGGCGCCTGTAATTCAAGCTACTTGGGAGGCTGAGGCAGGAGAATCGCTTAAACCCAGGAGGCAGAGGTTGTGGTGAGCCGAGATTGCGCCACTGCACTCCATGGTGGTCCATGCCCGTAGTCCCAACTACTCGGGAGGCTGAAGTGGGGGGATCAGAGACGAGGAAGTGGAGTTTGCAGTGAGCTGAGATTGTGCCACTGCACTCCAGCCTCGGTGACAGGGTGAGACTCTGTCTCCAAAAAAGAAAAAAGAGAAAGAAAAGAAAAAGACGGGTTTTATCTACATTATACTGATCCTTGAGGAACAAGCTAAAAAATTTTACCCCGTGATTTCCCCTATAGAGGAAGAAAGAGAGAAGTGTGAGTAGAAAAATGGCCAGAGGCAGAGTTAAGAATCACTTCTTAGACAAAAGTCCCCTTGGGTGTTTCTGAGCACAAAACAAATGAAGCCCTTGCCTTAAGATCAATGGTGAGATTCAGGTGGTTGTTACAGAGTAGAAAAATGGCCCTATGCCAAATGCCAGTGTCAAGACCATATGTCTAGACTCTTTAAGAAAAAATAGGAGCCTCTCTGGAGGAAAAGGTCTCTTCCTATGTGAAATGTTTATTGAATGCCTTCTATGTGTGCACCTGTCTGACAGGCAGCATTACAAAGAAACACAAAACCGGAAGCCTCTAGCAGAAAATTAGGTAAAATTCACTGCAGACACATTCACTGATCTACCAGTCTAACCAGTGATGAAAGGCAGCTCAGCTTCTTGGCACCATTTTTTTTTTTTAATTGAGACACTGTCTCCTTCTGTCACCCAGGCTGGAGTGCAGTGGCGCAATCATAGCTCACTGCAGCCTCCAACTCCTGGGCTCAAGCAATCCTCCCTCCTGAGCCTCCCGAGTAACACCATTCTTCGTTATAAGAAAAACTTGACAAGCTCCCTGAAGCAAATCTGTGTGTTTTTAACACACAATCATAAAGCCACCCTGATGTTTTCTTCATCTTATTTAATAACCTGTATCTTTGTGGGGCAGAGTGGGGGGCGTAACTAGACTAGAACAAAACCAATTGTTTATCCAGGAGATCTAAATCTCTCTATCCATTGAATTCATTGCTTCACAGGGAGCACCCTGAGAAACAGGTATCCTGTCCCAAAGCCTGAGAAATGCTCACAACAATTTTGCCAGAGTCCTATTCCAGGGTTATGTGTGCTTTTTAAGGACAGGGGCTTTACACTCACACATACTCATGCAATTATAATAATTATTACAATATACAATATGTACAGTTGTTAGAATCATCATGACTGTAATAATCACATTTCATTAGATGGTATGTATATGGTGACTCAAACCTGTTGCTCACTTTTTCTACTAGGCTTAGTACCAATATAATCTTTGCTAATTAACAGTGATGACTACAGCAAGACTACATGACAAGTCAGAGGAGGTGAATGCTTTCAGGAGCTCACTTCTATTAATTTGCAATATATAATCCAGTATATACAATCCTATATATATATGTACATATATATATTCACTATATATAATCCTATCTGTGCATGCATATACGTAGGGTTTTATATTGTAAATATAATGAATATATAAAGTGAATATATATATTGAATTATATATTATATATAATGGATATAGTGACTATATATACTTAGTAAATGTATATAGGATTATATATATTATACTGAATATAGTGAATATATAAAATTATATATTATATACAATGAATATTGTAAATATATATAGGGTTATGTGTAATATATAATGAATATAGTGAGTATATATAGTGAATATGTGTAGGGTTATGTATACTCTATACAGTGAATATATAGAATTCTATATACTATATATAATAAACATAGTGACTATAAACATAGTAAATATATTTATAGAATTATATATATTATATATACTGAATATATAAAATTATGTGTAATGATCTATACAATAAATATACTAAATACATAGAATTATGCATATATATAATGAATATAATGACTATATATACATAGTGAATATGTACAGGATTATGTATATTATATGTAGTAAATATGTAAAATTACATGTATTATATGTAATGAATATAGCGAATATATAGGATTATATGTGTTATATGTAATGATATAGTAACTATACATACATAGTGACTATATATAGGATTATATATCACATATGATGAATATATGATTATATATTATAAACAATATGGTGAATATGTATACATAGTGATTATATAGATAGGAAAATATATATGTAAGACACACACACAGAACTTTTTAATGAAATACAAGGAAGTTCAAACATTCTGATTTTATAATGATGACAATTTTGATACCCTTTTAGTTTTTTTGTTTTACTTGGAAGGTTAGGGGGTAGAGGGAAAACAGCAAATACCGAATTCTTTTTTAAATTATTCTTTCTGTTGGTATGCCTTTGGTGATGCCTAAGTGTGGGTGCTATGGAGTTCTTGAACAACCCGGCATGAAGTCTATCAAAGTGAGCTGGAAGAATCTGCTGGCCATGAGGAGATAGGCACCCCAGTCAAATGAAAAACTATTTTTTCTGATAGACATAACACTCGTTAAAGCATAATAAATAGCATCATTGATGTTACCGAATTAAAAACCTGCATCTGAGAATCCAAGTCAGAATTGATCTAAAGGAGCAGTTCTCACCTAGAAATGACCTTGCCGCCAGGGGGCACTGGGCAATGTCAGGAGACATTTCTGGTTGTCGCTGCTCTGGGGTGGGTGCTACCGGCATTTGTGGGTGGAACCCACAGACGCTGTTCAACACCTACAATGGCACAGGAGGCCCCCAGCCAAAGAATCCTCCAGACTCAAATGTCAATCGTGCGGAGGCTGGGAAATCTGCCATAGATGGTCATTGAGATCCTATGCTCTCTCTCATGGGGTTGGCATTGCTTCAAACATTTTACTTTGAAGCTCTTGGAAACTGCTCCAAAATTTGCAGCTTTTTTTTTTTTTTTTTTTTTGGTCTAGCTTAATAAGAGTCTGACTCACATAAAAATACCTGAACATCATGGCAAATGAATTCAAGCAAACGCAAAGCCAGTAGAGACTACTGATTTTCAATGGACAGGTGTTGGTTCTCTGCGCACAATCACCTTTGTAGATCCCGTTCCAGCCGCCCAGCTGAACAGCCCCGTCCAGGGGCTCCAGGTGGCCCCCGTTGTCAGAGGTGAAGTACACCAAGGTGTTGTTGGCCAGGCACTCCCGGTCTAGGGCATCCAGAATTTTACCTGGTGAGGGTCAGAGACACAAAGACGTTGACCTCTCGATGCAGATCACCACTGCTTTATTATATGTTTGCTATTATGCATTTATTACACATAGCATTTAAACGTTATTCTGCATTACACAATATTGTATAATTAATCATATAATATTGTAATATATACTATTTTAAACTGTATGTAATATAGTATATATAATATATTATATCCAGCAGTTAAAATATTTAATATATAATGTAATAATGTATATGTTATATTTAATATAATAATATACACTTTCATACATTTTAATTACCAATTATATATTTATTATATATTGTATGATATATAGTACATATTTCTTACAAATACATGTTAATATATAACATGATGTATTAGAAATGCATAAAGAATTGTTATATATTAAAATGTAATCAATTATGGAATAGAATAAAATATATTGCAATATGTATAATAATACATATTATGTATTATTATACCATATGACTTTACAATACTAGAAACATCATTATATAATAGTTTATGATTATTAATACACTATATCATTGTGTAAAAATTGTTATATAATTATATAATAGCATGTAAATATTATTTTATTATATAGTATTTTGTACATCAATGTAATATGTAAAAATATGTTTATTTATAGATATATAGGAAAAGATATTAAATATAAGATAAAATATGAGTATATGTAATAAATGTAAAATATATAAGGAATATATAAAATTTTATAATATATCTAATATATGAAATTTTATCATAAATTTATATCATTTATATGAATATATACTATATTATTTTATACAATTGTATGATATTGTGTGTCACATATCACATTAATTTTATTATATTAATGTAATTATATAAATTATATTAAATATACTAAATACATTAATTATATTAATTTAAAATATAGAATAGTTTGTATATAATATATAAAGTATTGGTTTATTATATAATTTTATTGCATATGTTCATTATTTTATTATTTAATATATAATAAAGTCTATTTTATTATACGAATCATGTAATAATATATAACGTCATCATTGCCCCAAACGATTCAAATAGACAATGCCAACTAGGCCCAGCAGTTAAATGAACCGATGAACATTAATTTTTAAAAATACAGTTTGCAAAATGACACCTCCAGGAACACCTGAGCAAAGCCATCCTCGTACTCCAGGGCACGCACCGCCTCCCTTAGAGATTTTGCTGTCCTGGCTGCTATCTGAGGTCTACATGGAAATTGCAGGTTATTCTTGCTGTCCGGGTTATGGTTAAGATCTAATGACAATTAATGCTGCGCTAGACTCAGCAGACACTGTCTTTAAGGTGTTGACAATCCCTCAGGAGGACAGTTTTTTAAAATAATAAGTAGAAAGCTGTTCTAGCAAAATCCCAAACAACATTCATTTCCTCTCTGATGTCTGTTGAGCATTTGCTAATCAACAGATAACATCGTCCTGGTCCTGAGGTCCCAATGCACTTCTCGTTTACACTAGATCATCTCTGTGATGCTCTTGTCCCGTTCAGAGATAAAAGAAAATGTAAGGAGCCGCACAGAAAACTGTTTATACGTAAACTCATTAACCTTTGTTACCTACTGTTCAAAAGTGATTTGCTTTACAAGTGACATATACTATTTTTTAGAAATGTTATCGTTAGAAATTAAGACATTTTAAAGCCCAGGGTTTGTAAGATGAAAGATTATAAAGGCTTTCCGGGAAGAGAGTAATTATATGTAAATTATCAATTCACATTAGATCTGGCTATAATATCAAAAAAATCATAAAAGTGATTTGTAATTTAAACTGTGCAAATATAGTAGCTGCAAATTCTTTTTCTGTTTCAAAACAAACACATAGGCAAATAATTGTCCGCAGAGTGTCTACAGTGAAAATAGACAGATGCATATGAATAGATAAATACTAACGGGAATAGATCACTTGTAAGACCTCTTACCAAAGACAACTGGAAAGAAACCAATAATGAAAAGTGATTAAGGTTGGGCCCAGTGGCTCACACATGTAATCCCAGGACTTTGGGAGGCCCAGGTGGGAGGTTTACTTGAGCCCAAGAGTTCGAGACCAGCCTGGGAAAGATGGCAAAACTCCTTCACTACAAAACACACACACACACACACACACACACAAATTGGCCAGACATGGTGGCGCACACTTTTAGTCTCAGCTACTCAGAAGGCTGACGTGGGAGGATCACCTGAGCCCTGGAAGTCAAGGCTGCGGTGAGCTGTGATCGCACCACTGCATTCCAGCCAGACTGGGCAAAAGAGTGAGACCCTGCATCTTAAAAAAAAAAAAAAAAAAAAAGGGGGGGGGGATTAAAAGTGTTTTTTAATAGGCACAAGTTTCTTTCATTGGAAAATTTAAAATGTCATTGAATTCTTGAAGATTCATTAAGTTCATTTTGCACCTTGTATTTGCATTTGCACGAGTATAGCATTGTTAAGGTTTATTTTTGAGTAAAGTTAATAAATTACTAAACCTGTGAGTTTTATACTCATATTGTTAAATAGTAAAATAATACCCACAGAGATACCTGTCTGACTTTCAACATGTCTTCATTTTGGTAGAATTTTTCTAAGCAATGATGGAGAAAACTCAGAATATTGGGAGATGTTTTGCAGAAAAATAGCTACTCATCATTTCTCCTGTGTCAAATAATATTAGCCATTTAATAATGCAATTGCTAGCTTCTGTAACACGTCTTCATCATGTATTTACATATACCGTAAAACAAACATAATTATTTCTCAGTGATAAATACTCAGATATTGACTTTAACAGAAATTCCCTTTGCAGGAAACTGTCCTTTGACTAAGTACAAATATAGTAAAAGCAATTTCAAAAGAAGCAAAGAAAAAAAAATCCCAATTATATAATTCCATAAAGGCTACAATGTTATAGCGGTTTTTAACTGTAACACATTTCAATGTTTGTATTTCATTACCAAGGAATTAAATTATATATAATAAATGTGTATATATGCAACATACAGTACTATGTGTATATATATATATAAAAAAACATAACATGTGTATACATATAAACCATATGGTGTGTGTGTGTATATATATGTATATAACATATGGTGCTTAATTCCTATTAAAACTAGCTATAGTATTATGCATAAAAGTGATTTGTAATTTATACCATGCAAATAAAATAACTGCAACTGGGTGTATATATATATATACACACACATACACTTCCCACAGCAAAGATTAAATTAAGAAATACAGAGCTTAGCTTTAGTTCAACAAGCTTAAAAAGGGTTTGGATGTCAGGGATTAGTTCCCTTTAAGCCCTTAAGTTTTTCCCTTTAATACATTCCTTTTTTCTCCCCATTTCTGCTTAAATGCCTTACTGGCAGCCTGGCAGCACTGCCTTTCCTTGTATTCTTTTTTTTTTTTTTTTTTTTTTTTTTTTTTTTTTTTTTTTTTGAGACAGGGTCTCGCTCTGTCACCCAAGCTGTAGTGCTACCTCCACCTCCCAGGCTCAGGTGATCCTCCCTCCTCAGCCTCCTAGGTAGCTGGAACTCCAAGGCGTGTGTGTGACACCATGCCTGGCTAATATTTGTATTTTTCTGTAGAGATGGAGCCTTGCTATGTTGCCCAAGCTGGTCTCAAACTCATGGGATCAAGCAATCCTCCCGCCTCGTCCTCCAAAAGTGCTGGGACTACAGGCATGAGCCACCACACCCCGCCCCTCTCTGTATTTTATCTCCTCTTTGGGATTAAATATAGATGGTAAATATTACAATGGTACCTAGAATTTGAGGGAAACACACACAGTGGAAATATACAAGAGAAATTTATCCCATGACAGGATTCCCCTCTTTGTCCTATCTGACACCACTAGCTCTTTGGTAATTTTAACTAGTTTTCTATAGCTCACTTAGATTGTGGTTTTCAGAGAAAAGAAAGTTATTTATAATAAAATTTGATTAACACCCCTTAAATGCATTTAAATTAAAATAGCTCCGTTTCTTTCAAAGGCACTCCATATAAATAGACAGAGGCGGCTGATAACTGGGAGATTGTTAGTTTAGATGGTTTGGCAGAGCACCGTTTTCAGAAGTTTGCACTCAGAAGAAGAAAAGTACTGTATTCCAAAATGAAACACCATTGCTGAGAAGAAGGACAACTCTGTCAGGTACATAGAGGCTGGGTGGGTGAATGCAATTCAACTAGCACAGCTAGTTATTATTCTGGAATGCATACAGTGACGCTTCCTGCCTGCTAATTTATATCCTTAGCATTTCTTTATAGTGAACACTATGCCTTTGAAATAAATTGCTTTAGTTGTGTTAAATCCCCATCCCAAATTTCTATGTATTTCCTGTAGAACTGACTAATCAGAATAACATTTCCCTTTATATCCATCAAAATAACCAGGAATTGAAATGACAATATTCTTTTTTTTTTTTTTTGAAACAGAATCTCGCTGTGTCACTCAGGCTGGAGTGCAGTGATCTGATCTTGGCTCACTGCAACCTCTGAATCCTGGATCCAGGTGATTCTCCTGCCTCATCCTCCCAAGTAACTGGGACTACAGGCCCACATAACCATGCCTGGCTGATTTTTATATTTTTAGTAGAGACGGGGTTTCACCACGTTGGCCAGGCTGATCTAGAATTCCTAACCTTATCAAGTGATCTGCCAGCCTCGGCCTCTCAAAGTGCTGGGATTACAGGTATGAGCCACTGTGTGCCCGGCCAGGAATTACAGTATTCTTTACAGCGCAACTTTATTTATCCTGCCAATGAGTTTTTCAGAAAAGTGACTGTCTTTATTTTAAAGATGGGAAAACTTATATTTACAAACTGTGACTTCTATTGGGGAATATATTTCACTGGTATTGCTGAACAATTAAAAGCCATCTTTTAATTCAATTCAGGGATGAAACAAACACTTATCAGGTATTTATGCTATGCAAGGGACTGGACATAATTTGAGACAGTACAGATTTTTCTGTAGCCCGTACTTCAGATATTTACAGTTCTGTCACTGAATACTTACCCACCATCCAATCCATTTCTTCTACATTGTCCCCATACCTGCCATATTTACTGTGCCCAACAAACTTCTCTTTGGAGATGAGTGGAGTATGTACGTGCAGGAACGAAAAAAAGAGGAGAAAAGGTTCCCGTTTGACCCTAAGGGGTAGAAAGTTACCAAAATTACCTTCACAAATAAAGCCATTTCCACCATTTAAATGCGATTCTGCATTGATGAAAAGATCTCATAATGGTTGCTGGAGGTTTACTATGTACTTCAGATGACAATACCTCTCCTGTGAGTCGTAAATACCACGAGGTTTATGTTGAAAGGATATGAGGAGGAACGAAGGATAACAGAACATTTGTGTTCCCAGTGAAATGTTTCATGTAGCCAGGCGCAGTGGCTCATGCCTATATTCTTTGCACTTTGGGAGGCTGAGACAGGAGGATTGCATGAGCCCAGGAGTTTGAGACCAGCCCGGGCAACAGGGCAAGACCCCGTCTCTACAAAAAAATTCAAAAATATAGCTGTGCATAATGGCACACCTGTGATCCCAGCTACTCAGGAGGCTGAGGCAAGGGGTTCACTTGAGCCTGGGAGGTGGAGGCTGCAGTGAGCTATTATCACAACACTGCACTCCAACCTGGGCAACACAGTGAGACCCTATCTTAACAACAACAACAAAAATGTTTAATGTGGTTCATTTTATACTCTCTTGTGTCCAGTTTAGCATCTGACATAAAGTAGCAGCTTAATAAATCTTTTAATCTTTGCGGAATGAGTTATCAAGTATGAATTCTCGTCATCTATTGTCTCAAAGTGTTTTTAGGTATGAGTTCAGAAGAATCATATCTTAAGGACAGACTCAGATGTGCCACAGTAAGGATTTGATGCTCCTTACTTTCCATTTGCCCTTCTTTCTTTCTTCCACCTCCTTCCTGGTTCCTGGAACATAAGTCTGATGGCTGGAGCTTTGGCATCCACCTTGGGCCATGAGGCTGCTCACAAAGGTGGCAGAGAACAAGATAAAAGCTGAGGTGTGAATAACCTCACTGTATCTGTAGCCTGCCTACCCCAAGAGAGAAATAAATTCTCCTCATTTACATCTTGCTTTTTGTATTCTGCATTTTATGTATTTATTTATTTTGAGACAAGGTCTCACTCTGTTGCCCAGGCTGGAGTGCAGTGGTGCAATCATGACTCACTGCAGCCTCGACCTCCTGGGCTCAAGTGATCCTTCCACCTCATCCTCCCAAGGAGCTGAGACCACAGGTACATGCCACCAAGCCTGGCTAATTTTGTACATTTTTTGTAGAGATGGGAGCTCACTATATTGCCCAGTTTGGTCTCAAACTCCTGGGCTGAAGCAATCCTCCTGCCTCAGCCTCCCAAAGTGCTAGGATTACAGATATGAGCTACCACACCTGACCTTGTGTTTTGCATTGCCACATACAGTCATTCTAAAGCTACTCCTTTACACATTTTTACAACCAGCACAGAAAGAAGGGAAGGAGTTGGAGATTGAATATGTTCCCAAAAAGGTGGCCCAAGCAAATGGGTTGGGATGGGAAGAGAAGGTAAGATGAACGGAGAGCTGAGTGGGTGGCTGTATCACTGTTCTCATGGTCGTGTTGGAGTAAATAATGAATCTGACGGGCACAGGGGCATATGAGTGAATGATATTCCACTGCGTACCCTTCAGCCTGGTGGAGTAACAATATAGCCTCCCCTCTCCACTCCCTGTCAACCCCACTAAGGAAGGTGACAAACAGTGTCAATGAGAATCCACACCAACAATTTTAATGTGCCTCTAATTTGTAATCTAGGCTGGGCACAATGGCTCACACCTGTAATCCCAGCATTTTAGGAGCTCAAGGCAGGAGGATCGCTTGAGTCCAGGAGTTTGAGACCAGCCTGAGCAACATAGCAAGGCACTGTCTCTACGGAAAAATAATTTTATAAAATTAACTGGGTGTGGCCATGTGCGTCTGTAGTCCCAGCTACTCAGGAGGCTGAGGTAAGAGGATCACTGGTGCCCAGGAGTTTGAGGCTACAGTGAACTATGATTGCACCACCGCACTCCAGCCTGAGTGACAGAGTGAGACCCTGTCTCCAAATAATAATAATAATAATAATAATAATTTGTAATGTAGAAGTGAACTGGTATGGGATGATGAGAGCTCATTACAGTCATGCCTGCATAGCTTGTGTTGAACATAGAAAACTTAAAACTGGGTATCTATAAATACAGAGCCACCTCCCAACAGTTCATGGACAGAGAGCTCTTCCAGCTGTGTCTGAATATGTGTCTGGGTATGTGTCCGAGACAGAGGAAAAAATTTACCCCCCAAGTTTAATCAATTTACACAACAATCCACACTGAAGCAATATAGAATAAAATATGGCAACTCCAGTTTTTGTTTTCAGAAAAGGGGTAAGTGGCCGGGCATAGTGTAATCCCAGTACTTTGGGAGGCCGAGGTGGGTGAATCGCTTGAGCCCAGGAGCTTGAGATCAGCCTGAGCAATATGACAAAACCCCCTTTCTTAAAAAAAAATGCAAAAATTAGCCAGGCATCATGTGTGTGCCTGTAGTCTCAGCTACTCTGGAGGCTGAGGTGGGAGGATCACTTGAGCTTGGGAAGTCGAAGCTGCTGTGAGCCATGATCGCACCACTGTACTCTAGCCTGGGTGGCAGAGTGAGATCCTGTTCCAAAAAGTAAAAAAAAAAAAAAATTAAAACATTAAAAATGGGAAAGTGAGCAAAATATGTGGGTTTTTTTGTTTTTGTTGTTTTGCCTTTTGAGCATTCAAAATTTGCAGGATATTTAACTGTTTTATTCTACCTAAGAGGAGACTCAAGTCTATCACAAATGTCACCTACATTTTTTTTCCTCAGCTTTTATTTTAGATACAGAGTCTCCATGTGCCGGTTTGTTACCTGGGCCTTTTACACTCAGGGAGTAAGCAGAGCACCCAATAGGTAGTCTTCCAACCATGTCCCCCTGTCTCCCTCTCTCCTCTAGAAGTTTGCAGTCTATTGTTTCCATGTTTATGTCCATGGAGGCTCAATGTTTAGTTCCCATTATATCCCATGAAATACTACACAGCCATGAAAAAGAATGAGATCATGTGTTTTGCAGCAACACGGATGCAGCTGGAGGCCATTATTCTAAGCAAATTAATGCAGGAACAGAAAGCCAAATACCACACATTTTCTCCAAAAGATTTTTTGTTGTTGTTGTTTTTGAGACAGTCTTGCTCTGTCGCCCAGGCTGGAGCACAGCGGTGCAATCTCGGCTCACTGCAAGCTCCGCCTCCCGGGTTCACGCCATTCTCCTGCCTCAGCCTCCCGAGTAGCCGGGACTACAGGCGCCCACTGCCACGCCCGGCTAATTTTTTTGTATTTTGGTAGAGACACGGTTTCACCGTGTTAGCCAGGATGGTCTCAATCTCCTGACTTCGTGATCCGCCAGCCTCGGCCTCCCAAATTGCTGGCATTACAGGCGTGAGCCACCGCGCCCGGCCTCTCCAAAAGATTTTTAAAGGTCCGTGTTATCAAGGTGTGACGACCTGCTATGAAATAAAAATAAAATTTCCACGCAAGAAATCAGACAAGAAATGGCTAAATACCTTTCAATGAAAGCTAGCGCCTCCTTCAGCATGAGGGAAGCTACTTTCTCCTCTTTCATCGGCTGCTGGATAATTTCATGGTTCCTCATAAGGATGCAATTCCAACGCCGAGTAAATCCATAACTGGAATACCAGGAAGTGAAAAACAGAAAGGCGAGGAGAGCAAAGACAAAGATGACCTTCCACGGCACTGAGAACCAGCGGGCGAACTTGGGAATGAGAAGCAGAAAAGGAACCAGGGCAATGGCCACCGTGGAGATCCACAATTTGATCCTGAGCCAGCGGTGCAGTTCTGGTGTCTTGAATGCCTGGCAGTCGCTTAAAAGTCCGAAAGGCACCCCATAAAAGTAGTGAAAACCATGGTTGAGCGGGTGGTAGCAGTGATCATTCCGAGAGGCGCAGCTCAAACCCAGGTGCCATTTGCCTAAAAGTAAAACAAAATCATACCACGGCAGCAGGGCAGCATTCAATGCTGGTCTGTTTCTAGAATGTGGGCTTCCCTTTGGAAAACTCAGATATAACTTTCATTTTGTGGTCATCATGGTTTTTTCTTGGTGTCCCCGAATACCTCCCTGGTATAGACATGGACCCGCAGCCTTCTCCCTGCAATGTGTCTCTTTCAGACACAAGCCATGCTGCAGGAGCCCCTTTGCTTTTGCTACAAGGAGAGGAGCCTAGTGTTCATTCAGAAGAAATCTTTTGCTTGGTACCAAACAACCTCATGAACAATGAGAAAGTTTCCAGGTATCTGGAGCTTGCTAGGAAGCCAGAATCGATGTCTTGGTTGTTTGGTGGGGACAATACCAAGGACTCTCGGTGCAGCTTGCACATTCATGCTTTTAGCTAGCAGTGCCTTCCCACCCTCTTACTCCATCTCACTGAAAGGTAACCAAGATTTTATTTATAGATGGAACACCTCTTCTAGGTCCGCAAGCTAGGGATGACAAACTAGCCAAAGAATTTCATCAAGAACCAAATGATTCTGATGATGCAAGTAATTCCTTTTATCAAGCACATCCTCTAGGGGGCCAGGTCATGTTCTGATTTGTCCACACACATTATTGTATTCAACACTTCACAGATCCTGTATTATGAATAGAAAACACATTGTCTAGATTATTTTTTTAAGAGACAGAGTCTTGCTCTGTTGCCCAGGCTGGAGTGCAGTGGCATGATTATAGCTCACTGCAGCCTCGAACTCCTCGGCTCAAGCAATCCTCCCGCCTCAGCCTCCTGAGTAGCTGGGACTATAGGTGTGTGCCACCATGCCCAGCTAATTTTAAAATTTTATTTTGGTAGACCCAGGGTCTTCCTCTGGTGGCCTAGGCTGGTCTTGAACTCCTGGCCTCAAGCAATTCTTCTGCCTCAGCCTCCCAAAGTGCTGGGATTACAGGTCTGTGCCACTGTGCCCAGCTATCTAGATTTATTCAGAAGCCCGAGTCACATTAATGAATAATGGCAGAGTCAGATCTGAATCCTGTGCTCTAATGATGTGAGAACACTGCTCAAAGCTAATCTGGAGAACTCCCACTCACAGGACACTGCTGGGAGTTGCATGGGAATACCTGCCCTACTGATGGAAAATCTCTTAACCTTTTTTTAACTGAGAATATCTCAGAGCTGTGGCTTACAATTCATATTAGGAATCCTCAAAAATAGTGAACCATACAATGCTTTGGGGTAGCATTTCCCAAAAGGATTTGATCACACAAGTTATTCTTAGAGGAATATCTTCTAGGACTGGAATTCTACAAACTTATTTTTCGGTGAAAGTCTCCCTCACAAGCTCATGTCCCCCCCAACACCCCACCCCCGCCAAAAGGGCATAGAATATTATGTGATCTAAATCGACCAGCAACTGCCTCCATTTGACAACTCTTAATGCTTTCAGTTTTCAATTTCAACAGTACTTTGCTACAAATTTACGAGTTTTTCTGCTGATAATGGTGTCACAAACATTGTATCCCTCCAACACAATATTCCATTTTAGTGGCAACTTTGGATACCCTTGTTTGCTTTCTGTTCTCATTGTTTTTCCAATATTATGCCCTTGATTCTACACATCCCCAGTCAATGTGTGATCAATTCCTTCTCCAAGTGTCTTATCTCAAAGAGAAGTCGGTCAAACTGGCGCGCACAGAGCCAACATCCCCGGAAACACCTTAGATACTATGACAGAGGCCGCAGGATCACGTTTCCACGAGCAGAGTTCAGGCGCCATACCTATGAGTCCCGTGCGGTAGCCACGGTGCTGCAGCAGCTTGGCAAAAGTCGTTTCATTGGTAGGAAGACCACCTGAACCACCAAGCCACGTGAGGGCACGGTTGAGGTTGTAGGGAGACACCATCCCTAAATTCACAGGAGTCAATAGGTTAGCACCATAGTCTTTGCTAATACCGAATTTATCCCGACATGCTTCAAGTCCTTTCCTCCTGCACCTCCTCAAAGCCATTCCTCCCCAACTTTTCTGTTGCCTTTCTGGCTGTACATCCTTGACTCTCCTTTTCCCACTTGCTAAATGCAAACATTCCCTTGGAATTAGGGCTGCCAGAATAAATATGGGATACTCAGTTACACTCCTTTGAATTTCAGACTAACAACAAATAACCTTCGTTAGTTTTTCATGTAGAGGCTGATAACCTTCATGCTTCAATAGAATCTGAGGACACCACTGCATTTTAGCTGTGTATAAATACTCGGATATTTAGCTGGGTATAAATACATTTTTTAATGTATCATTGGGAATCTGAAATGAAGAATTGTAGGAGTGACAATTTCTTTTTCATATACATGTGTGTATATATGTAATTTTTTTTTTTTTTTTTTTTTTTTTGAGATGGAGTTTCGCTCTGTCACCCAGGCTGGAGTGCAGTGTCACCATCTTGGCTCACTGCAACCTCTGCCTCCCGGGTTCAAGCAATTCTCATGCCTCTGCCTCCCTAGTAGCTGGAATTACAGGCGTGTGCCACCACACTTGGCTTGTTTTTGTTTTTGTTTTTGTTTTTGTTTTGTATTTTTAGTAGAGACAGGGTTTCATCATGTTGGCCAGGCTGGTCTCTAACTCCTGACCTCAAGTGGTCTGCCCACCTCAGCCTCCCAAAGTGCTGGGATTATGTAGATTTATACTGGCAGACAAATGTATACACCTATAGTTTAAAAGGAATTCACAAGAAAACTACAAGTGAAGATCAGCAAGAAATAAATAAATGACCATTTCAGGACAGGCGCAGTGGCTCACGCCTGTAATCCCAGTGTTTTGGGAGGCCAAGGCGGGGGGATCACCTGAGGTCAGGAGACCGGCCTGGCCAACATGGTGAAACCCTGTCTCTACTAAAAATACAAAAATTGGCTGGGTGTGGTGGCAGGCACCTGTAATCCCACCTACTCCGGAGGCTGAGGCAGGAGAATCACTTGAACCTGGGAGGCGGAGGTCGCAGTGAGCTGAGATCATGCCATTGTACTCCAGCCTGGGTGACAAGAAGGAAACTCCATCTCAAAAGAAAAAAATACATTTCAAGGATCCTACCTTGGAAGAAGAAGAAGGTAGACTCTAGATAGTGTTATTGATAGGAAAGAGAAACAGTTTTACTAACGGAAGCATTAGACCATTATCTTGCTGTTGAACTATTTTGCTGAAATTTTTGATAAGTAGAATGAATTAAACTGAACCGTTTGTGTGAAATTATTAAAAATATACACATGGCAATGACTTGAAATCTCTCCACCAATCACCTAAATTTTTTCTTATTTTTTTAAAATAAATTTTATTTCACCATAATCAATACTTAAAATTCCCTGAAATTAGGCTGAGCATGGTGGCTCACTCCTGTAATCCCAACACTTTGGGTGGCCAAGGCGAGTGGATCACACATGAGGCCAGGAGTTCGATACCAGCCTAGCTAACATGGTGAAACCCCATCTTTGCTAAAAATACAAAAATTAGTCGGGCGTGGTGGTGCATGCTTGTAATCCCAGCTATTCGGGAACTGAGGCAGGAGAATCACTTGAACCAGGGAAGCAGAGATTACAGTGAGCTGAGATTACACCATTGCACTCCAGCCTGGACGACAGAGCGAGAGTCTGTCTCAAAAAAAAAAAAAATCCTGAAATCCTGAAATTGTAAGTGTGATTTGTTTTGGAAACTCATACAGACTCATATCTTTATCCCTGTGCTATACAGAGACTGCTTATCTAGAAATCAAGCTATTTGGAACAAAATGGAGAACCTTGAATTATGAAAGAAGGTCATTAGGCAACAAAAAAAGATAATAATAAATCAATATTTATAGGACAAAAACTTTCAGTGTTTACTTTTATTTTTAGTATAATTCTCATTAACCTAATTAGTTCATTCCTTGAATGTATCAGATGAGAAGTTACTACTTAGAAGGAAGAAAATTCATACAGAAAAATTTTTCACTGAAAAATTAAACTGTGAAGGCAGGTATACTAAAATTATGACAAGCAAATACTAGAATTAAATAAAATGCAGCAGTATGGCACAATATTTCACATAGAGGCTGATAACCATGAACACTTCAATAGTGTCTAAGGGGACCACTATATTTTAACTGGTATAAAAATTGTTGTTCATAATATTGATGTTGAGTGGATGTTTGTAGGTATTGATTCTAAGCTAAGCAGCAAAGGAAAACATTTAATTGTCATTATATCAACTTGGTAAGTCTGAATCTTGAAATGATGGGGTCCAGTAAGGAAGCATGTAAAAGTTTCATTTCCTTTTTTTTTCTCACTTATACTTTTTTTCCCAACTGTGTCTAGTTTTCCAATCTCATCCTCCGAGATAGATTAGATCCACTTATCTCAGAACCACTGCATGGTCTCCGCTAGCTTAAAGACATCAGGGGCCTCTTGAGAAATCTTAGCACAAGTACCTGAAAATGGGAGTGTTGACCGTAAGTTGGCAAATTGCCCCCAACAGGCCTAAACCCTGTCACTATATGCACAGAGATGGGCAGGTGCAGTGACATTTTGCAGTTTTCCCCGGGACCTCTGCTATTCCTGCCAATAACATCAGACAATGACTTCTCTCCAGAAACCCTTCTCTACAGTGGCAAAGGCGTGACCACTGTGGCACGGGAGACTCCCACCTACAGGGAGGGGGTCAGAGTCCAACTTTACCTCCCTGAGAGGCACACATGTTTAAGCTGTGCAGGGATAACAACGCCCTTTGATTTTAGATCCCTAATATTCTGAGTGACATTTTGAGAATTCTTATAAAGATTTGAAAAACTAATCATTAGAATGCATTCTGGTGAGACTGAAATTTTGCTGCCTTTTCATTGCCTCACCTGATCTGATGGGGTACCGGCCGGTCAGGAAGGCAGCCCGACTTGGGGTGCACATGGAAGCAGCTGCGAGATGCTGGGTGAGCCTCACTCCCTCATTTGCCAGGCGGTCAATATTAGGTGTGCTGCAGACCAAAGGAGAATTCGGCAGGTGAGTGTCTAAAAATTCTCTATACAATGATCGAGGATCAAAGCTATTCTAGTTGACTCTATTTCTGGTAAACCTAAAATTCATTTTTTTTAAACTTTAATCTCTCTACTTCCTTAGATGCATTGATGGTTAAAAGCAAAGGGAAATGTAAGTTTAAAATATATCTTTAGTCAAAACTATTACAAATGAATACAGGTCACTCAGTATACAGTTTTATGAGTCTGAGAAAAAAATGTATTTCAATGAAAAAATTAGCCAATTACTTCTTATCAAGGACCTAAAATTAATGGGTAATTTAGAGTAAATAAAGTTTTAATGTGTTTCATATTTTTTTAAGAGACAGTCTCTTGCTCTGTTGCCCAGGGTGGAGTGTAGTGGTGCAGTTATAGCTCACTGCAACCTGGAATTCCCTGGGCTCAAGTGATCCTCCAACCTCAGCCTCTCAAGTAGCTAGGTCCACTGGTGTGCACCACCATGCCCTACTACTTTATTTAAATTTTTATTTAATTTATTTATTTTTTTTGGAGACAGGGCCTCACTCTGTTACCCATGCTGGAGTACAGTGGCACGATCCCGGTTCATTGTAATCTCCGCCTCCCGAGTTCAAGTGATCCTCCTGCCTCAGCCTCCCGACTAGCTGGGATTACAGGCGTGAGCCACCACGCCCAGTGGTGTATTTTTAGTAGAGATGAGGTGTTACCATGTTGGCAAAGCTAGTCTTGAACTCCTGACCTCAAGTGATCCGCTTTCCCCAGCCTCCTAAACTGCTGGGATTGCAGGTGTGAGCCACCACACCTGGCCTTAAAGTTTTATGCAGAGATACAGGTCTTGCTATTTTGCCCAGGCTGGTCTCAAACTCCTGGCCTCAAATGATCCTCCCACCTCAGCCTCCCATTAATATATATTTTATGCTAAAATTGACCTATTTTATAACCAAATTGTGACATTTTGGAGTTTAATTTATTTCCCATTTTGTCTAATATGTTGCAAAAATTTTGTAAAACTTACAGAATTCTACAGGTTGAAAAAAAGACGTGCCTGTTCTCCTAAAAGCTAAAGCATACCCAATCTTAATCCCATGTGTACAACATTTTTTTCCCACAATCTCACAGAAAGATTATAATGAAGGCTGAGCGTGATGGCTCACGCCTGTAACCCCAGCACTTTGGGAGGCCAGGAGGGGCTGAACACTTGAACTCAGACCACAGTGGGCAATATGCCAAAACCCCAACTCTACAAAAAAAAAAAATTAGACGGGCATGGGGGCTCATGCCTGTAGTCCCAGCTGCTCAGGAGGCTGAGGAGGGAGGATCACTTGAGCCTGGGAGGTCAAAGCTGCAGTGAGCCAAGATCATGCCACTGCACTCCAGTCTGGATGACAGAGTGAGATCCTGTCTTAAAAAGAAAAAAAAAAGAAAAGAAAAGAAAGAGATAAAGAGGAAAGAAAGAAAAAAAGGAAAGGAAAGGAAGAAAGAAAGACAGAAAGAGAGAGAGAGAGAGAGAGAAAGAAAGAAAGAAAGAAAGAAAGAAAGAAAGAAAGAAAGAAAGAAAGAAAGAGAAAGAGAGAGAGAGAGAAAGAAAGAAAGAAAGAAAGAAAGAAAGAAAGAAAGAGAGAGAGAAAGAGAGAAAGAGAGAAAGAGAAAGAAAGAGAAAAAGAAAGAAAGAAAGAAAGAGAGAGAGAAAGAGAAAGAAAGAAAGAGAAAAAGAAAGAAAGAAAGAAAGAAAGAAAGAAGACCAATGCCTTTCAATCAACAAATATATGCTTAAAATATAGGACTAGACTGTGATCTGCATTCCAAGAAGAAACAATGTTATTTAAATCCACACTAAAAGATGCTATGTGTTTTCACAAGTGCCAGATTGGTCTATCAAAAGAGAGTAGAGAAATAAAGAGCCCCGGGGACCAGAGACTTTAGAAATAATTCAAGGAAGATATTTTTAAAGCTGTAGACTAATGTAGTGTATCTATATAATGAAAAATTATTCAGCCATGGAAAGGAATGAAGTACTGACACATGCTACAATATGAATGAACCTTGAAAACATTACGCTCAGTGAAAGAAGCCAGTCAGTAAACACCACATACCATATGTTATGAGCAAAACTGTGTTCCTCCCAAATTCCTATGCTGAAGTCCTAACCCCCAGGACCTCAGAATGTGACTGTATTTGAAGATGGAGTCTTTAAAGAGGTGATTAAGGTAGCATGAGGTCATTAAAGTAGACCCTCATCCAATAGGACTGAAGTCCTTATAAGAAGAGGAGATGAGGACACAGACACACACAGAGGGATGACCCTGTGAGGACACAGGGAGAAAACCGTGTCTACAAGCCAAGGAGAGAGGCCTCAGGAGGAACCAGCCCTGCCCACACCTTGATCTCAGACTTCCAGCCTCCAAGAATGTGGGAGAATCAATGTCTGTTGTTTTAAGCCACTCTAGTCTATGGTATTCTTTTTTTTAGACAGAGTCTTGCTCTGTTGTCCAGGCTGGAGTGCAGTGGCGCCATCTCAGCTCACTGCAAGCTCCACCTCCCGGGTTCACGCCATTCTCCTGCCTCAGCTCCCTGAGTAGCTGGGACTATAGGCACCCACCACCACGCCCAGCTAATTTTTTGTATTTTTTTAGTAGAAACAGGGTTTCACCATGTTAGCCAGGATGGTCTCGATCTCCTGACCTCATGATCCGCCCACCTCAGCTTCCCAAAGTACTGGGATTATAGGCGTGAGCCACCACGCCCAGCCTATGGTATTCTTTTATAGCAGCCTGAAATAGACTAAGACATCTCATAATAAGAGGAGATGAGGACACAGACCCACATAGAGGGACGATCCTGTAAGGACACGGGGAGAAGATGGTATCTACAAGGACAGGAGAGAGGCCACAGGAGGAACCAGCCCTACCCACACCTTGATCTTGAACTTCCAGCCTTCAGGACTGTGAGAGAATAAGCTGATGTTATCTAAGCCAACCAGTCTGTGGACCTTTGTCATGGCAGCCTGAGAAAATACATACTTTATATGATTATTTGTATATGAAACTCCAAGAAGAGACACATCCATAGAGACAGAGGGTACATTTGTGGTTAACAGGGCATGGGGATAGGATGGCTAATGGGGGTCTTCTTTGGGGCGGTGAAAAATTCTACAACTACACAGAGGTGATGGTTGTCCAACACTGTGAATGTACTTACCACTGAATTGTTCACTTTAAAATGGTTAAAAGGTGATTTTTTTTTTTTAAACAGAGTCTCCCTCTGTCACCCAGGCTGGAGTGCAGTGGTGGGATCATAGCTCACTGCAGCCTCAATCTCCCTGGCTCAGGCAATCCTCCTGCTCCAGCCTCCTGAGTGGCTGAGACCACAGACGCACGCCACCATGTCCCAGTAGATTTTTTTAATTTTTTTTTCGTAGAGACAGGGTCTCCCTATGTTGCCCAGGCTGATCGCAAACTCCTGGGCTCAAGCAATCCCCCCACCTTGGCCTTCCAAAGTGCTGGGATTATAGGCTTGAGCCACCATGCCTGACCAAAAAAGGCCAATTTTTAAACGTAAATTTTGCACAATAATGAAAACGCCACCACCAACAGCTAGAAACTAAGGGAACTGGGATGTTAAGCGGTCTCCTGACATTTTGCAGTTTTCCCCGGGGACCTCTGCTATTCCTGCCAATAACATCAGACAATGACTTCTCTCCAGAAACCCTTCTCTACAACGGCAAAGACGTGACCACTGTGGCACGGGAGACTCCCACATACAGGGAAGGGGTCAGAGTCCAACTTTACCTCACTGAGTTATTACCGTAGCAGCACAAATCCCCCACTCCAAGGTCATCTGCCATCAGCAGGACGATGTTGGGTCTGGCGTTTCTTGTCATAAATGTGCCATCAACACCGCAAAACAAATAGCACAGGGACACTGACAGCCAGCAGCTCCTGAAAGCATTTTTAGAATAAGCAAACAAACAAGCAAGCAAAAAACCAGGCACTATCAATTAACATTTGCATTTTAGATAACTTAAAATATGAAATAGTGATATTCGTTATCAGGTCTCACTGTGCAATGTACCTGTGTTGGCTTACTCAGAAACTAGATTCAACAACAACAACAAGAAAAACTACTGTTCTACACCAGAGGTCCCCAATCCCCTGGCCATGGACCAGTACTGGTCCATAGCCTGTTCGGAACCAGGCCACACAGCAGGACGTGAGTGACGGGCAAATGAGTGAAGCTTCATCTGTATTGACAGCCACTCCCCATTGCTTGCATCGCTGCCCGAGCTCCGCCTCCTGTCAGATCAGCAGCAGCATTAGATTCTCATAGGAGCGAGAACTCTATTGTGAACTGTGCATGCAAGGGATCTAGATTGTGTGCGCTTTATGAGAATCTAATGCCTGATGATCTGTCTCTGTCTTCCACCATCCCCAGATGGGATCATCTAGTCACAGGAAAACAAGCTCAGGGCACCCACTGATCATACACTACTATGAGTTGTAGAATTATTTCATTATATATTATCATGTAATAATAATAAAAATAAAGTGCACAATAAATGTAATGTGCTTGAATCATCCTGAAACCATTCTGCACCCCCTTCCTGTCTGTAGAAAAACTGTCTTCCACAAAACCGGTCCCTGGTGCCAAAAATGTTGGAGACCATTGTTTTATATGAATATGGTATCAGATTTTACCAATTCATTTCGCAAGCATGATGAGGTTTAACTCTTATAACATATTTTGATATTGTTTTAGTGATATCAGAGGCTTAAAATTTATAACAGTGGTTACAGTTGAGGGTAAGGTCTAAAAATTTAATTTTGCTCAGTGCTGTGGCTCATGCCTGTAATCCCAGCACTTTGGAAGGCCAATGCAGGTGGATTGTTTGAGCCCAGAAGTTTGAGACTGGCCTGGGCAGCATGGTGAAACCCCATCTCTACAAACAATACAAAAATAGCTGGGCATAGTGATGCATTCCTATAGTCCCAGCTACTCAGGAGGCTGAGATGGGAGGATTGCTTGAGCCCAAGAGGTCAGGATTGCAGTGAGCTATGATTGTGCCACTGCACTCCAGCTTAGACAACAGAGCAAGACCCTGTCTCAAAAAAACTTCTTTATTTTATTACATAAAAATGTAACCAAGGCCGGGCACAGTGGCTCATGCCTGTAATCCCAGTGCTTTGGGAGGCCGAGGCAGGTGGGTCACCTGAGATCAGGAGTTTGAGAATAGCTTGACCGGCATGGTGAAACCCCATCTCTACTAAAAATACAAAATTAACCAGGTATGGTGGCACGCACCTGTGGTCCCAGCTACTTGGGAGGCTGAGGCAGGAGAATCACTTGAACCCAGGAGGCAGAGGTTGCAGTGAGCCGAGACTGCACCACTGCACTCCAGCCTGGGCAACAAGAGTGAGACTCCACCTCAAAAAAAAAAAAAAGTAAATAAAATGGAAAATCAGAGACTAAGAGCTAGCCAGTTTTGATTTTTCAAGTGTTCAGTTGTACTTTTTAATACATTTTATAACCTCAAAGTTTTTCTCTAAGCCACATGGAGCGGGGTGGGGGCAATGACAACAGAAGCTCTAGTAACTTATTAGATCTGAGCCCAGAACTAGATGCTGAAACACTGATATTTTGGGATGGAACACATGTGTGTATACAAAGTGTTTTCTCCTTTTGTTCATCAAGAACATATGTCCACAGAAGAAATCAGGTGGAAAAAATTCCACTTCAAAAAAAATCTAGAAATTATTTAAAATCTATGAAAGAAAATTTAACATTCTTAAGATTCTGCTAAATTTTTTAAAATGTGTCAATTAGTTCAATGAAAGGAAGATTTTACTAAATTTTATTTTATTTTTTAATGGGTCAATGTTGGAATAGATCTACTAAATTTTATTTATTTATTTATGTATTTTTTGAGACAGAGTCTCGCTCTGTCACCTGGGCTGGAGTGCAGTGGCGCAATCTCAGCTCACCACACCCTCCGCCTCCCAGGTTCAAGCAATCCTCCCACCTCAGCCTCCTGAGTAGGTGGGACTACAGGTGTGCACCACCATGCCTGGCTAATTTTTGTATTTTTAGTAGAGATGGGGTTTGCCATGTTGGCCAAGCTGGTCTCAAACTCCTGACATCAGGTGATCCACCTGCCTCGGCCTCCCAAAGTGCTGGGATTACAGGTGTGAGCCGCCGCACCTGGCCTAAATTTTAGATTGTAAAAGAACTCTCTTGTAACAGCTGAATTGTACAATATCCTGAAACATCCACAACAGTCATTGACGAAAAATGATCACTATGAATTGAAGACCAATATCCCCTCAGTCAGGTTCCACAACTCCAAATTCCATTCAGTCAATTCCAAGTCCTCCTAATTCAACCTCAAATATTGTGTCATAAATCCTTTTATATCCATCCATCTTCCCTTCTATTTCATGTTTATAGTTTTATTTTTAAAACTTTTTTAATTGAGATGGGGGGGTCTCGCTATGTTGGCCAGGTTGGTCTTAAACTCCTGAGCTCAAGCAATTCTCCCGCCTCAGCCTCCCAAAGCACTAGGATTACAGGTGTGAGGGACAGCGTCTGGCCTATTTCTTTTTAAAATATTAATAGTAGTAATTTTATTAAATCTCGAGCTCATTTTTTTTAATAGATTTTTTTTAGAGCAGTTTTAGGTTCACAGAAAAAAACTGAACATAGGTACGGAGAGTTCCCACACACCCCCTGCCCCCACATATGTAGTAGCTTCCTCCATTATCAACACCCAGAAACAAGACGGTACATTATCTAATACAATCAATGAACCTACATTGAGAAATCATTATCTCCCAAAGTCCATAGTTTAATTTAAGGGTCACTCTTGGTGTTGTACATCCTGTGGTGTTGCACAGAAAGTCCCAGCCTACCATTAAGAGGGTTGAAGGATGAGGATAGGGAGATGATACACTGAAAGAAATCTTGGCTAAGAATTTTTCAGGATTGAAGACAGACATAAGTTTTCAGACTGAACCCAGTTAAAAAAATAATCTCCAGTTAGACCTGGCTCAGTAAAGGGCAATGATGGAGACAGAGACACTTGGTTTAAACACAACCACAGATAACCTAAAATGGGAGGATAACTGGAATGTCAAGAGACTTCCCGACAACCACAGTGGATGCCTGATGACCAGGGACCACTGCTTCCAGAGTGCTGAGACAAAAGTCACTCTGAACTCAGAGTTCCAAACCGTTCTAATACATCATTGAAGAAAGAGTAGGGATTACGGGCATGTGGGATGTACATGAACCCAAAAACTCTTGATGAAAAAACTACTAAGGAATATTTTCAGCAAAAGGCAAACTTAGAAACAAAGAGTACACAGGCCAAGTGCAGTGGCTCATGCCTGTAATCCCAACACTTTGGGAGGCCGAGGCAGGTAGATCACTTGAGGTTGGGTGTTTGAGACCAGCCTGGTCAACATAGTGAAACCCCATGTCTACTAAAAATACAAACATTAGCCAGGCATGGTGGCACATGCCTGTAATCCCAGCTACGAGAGAGGCTGAAGCAAGAGAATCGCTTGAACCTGGGAGGCAGAAGTTGCAGTGAACTGAGATCACACCACTGTACTCCAGCCTGGGTGACAGAGCAAGACTCCATCTCAAAAATAAATAAATAAAAATAAAAATAAAAGAGTAGACATAAGAAAAGATGTTGAAAAGAGATAAAACATGTTGATAACATTAAATACGTATTGACAGAAAGTATTATTAATTATTATTATTTTGGAAAGGAGTAAATAATTCACTAAGCAATAATTACATGGAAGAAGAGGGGGTAGGACTATGGTGCCTTTCATTTCTTCTAAAGGAAGCTGGAAATAGAGATTAACCATCATATTTTGGCAAGTTAATAATGATGTCAATATGATGAAGGGAAACATGAGGTATAGTTTCCAGGCCACTTGAGGGGAGAAGGATGGGCCGGTGTATTAGTCTGCTCTCACGCTGCTAATAAAGACATCCCTGAGACTGGGGGTAAATTATAAAGGAAAGAGGTTTAATGGACTCACAGTTCCATATGGCTGGGGAGGCCTCACAATCATGGTAGAAGGCAAAGGAGAAGCAAAGGCACATCTTACATGGAGGCAGACAAGAGAGCTTGTGTAGGAGAACTCCTATTTATAAAACTATCAGATCTCATGAGACTCATTCACTATCATGAGAACAGTGTGGGGGAAAGCACTGCCATGATTCAATTATCTCCACTGGGCTCCACCCTTCACACATAGGGATTATTACAATTCAAGCTGAGATCTGGGTGGGGTCACAGCCAAACCATATCAGCCAGGAAATAGAGAAACCTTAATGCAGCCTGTAAAAAGCAAGAGGGGAAAAAAGGAAACCACAGGAGAATCTTGAAAATATAAAATAGCATGTAAGATGACAGAAATAAGGATCAACTATCTTAATATTTATAACAAATATGGGTGGGTTTACCTGCCTATTAAAGAATCCCATACTAATTTTTAAAAATCTGTCCTATGTTTTTCTTAAAGGACACACCTAAAACCTAATTACAAATAAAACTTGAAACTAAAAAGATGTAAACATCTACGTAGGCCAGCCAAGTAGTAATCAAAAGAAACTTGTTGCAGCAATAACATCAGCCAGAAGTAAATTACAATTGAAAAATCATTAATATAGAATGGCAAGGCTATTAAAGAATAATAAAAATATAAATCCACAAAGATGATATGAACATCATAAACCAGTGTGAATTTAGTTATGGCTTCAAAATATAGAAAGTAGGCTGGGCATAGCAGCTCATGCCTCTAATTATAGCACTTAGGGAGACCGAGATGGGAGGATCCCTTGAGTCCAGGAGTTTGGGACCAGCCTGGG